TAGGGAGGCAAAGTTCAGGCTTGGTCTAACGAGGGATTTCCAGGACAGGCTCCAAAGCTACAGAGAAACCCTGTCTTGAAAAACAAAAAACAAAGAAACAAATAAATAAATACATAAAGTAATCAATTTTTTTTCATGTGCCAGGGAGACAGCTGAACAAATAAAGATGCTTGCCACTAACAATGACAATCTGAGTTTAATCCCCAGAACCAATATGGTAGGAAAGTTGAGGAGAACCAACTTCTCCTAGCTTCCCTCTGACTTCTATAAACATACCTGATGGTGGTGCACAACTTTAATCTCAGCACTCAGGAGGCAAAGGCAGGCAGAGCTCTGAAAATTCAAGGCCAACCTGACCTACAAAGCGTGTTCCAGGACAGCTAGGGCTCCACAGAAAACCTGTCTCGAAAAATTAAGGTGAAAAATTAAGGGGCCTTTTTAGTCACCCATGTTCTGTGATTCCAATAAACCCTTGATTCATTAAGCTAGACTTGGGTGGAATTGTGCCTTTGATTTGTTACTGACGCCCTATCATCTAGGGTGAAGAAATGTTTATGCATATCTCCTTAGGAAGTCACATTCTACCACTAGTGAGCTTTCCCTCCTTATTGCCTCTTTAGAACTGCTCTATGAACCCATTTTTTTTTCTCAGCACCTTGAATGAAATTCAGTAAAATAATGCAGTAGGCTGCATTTGGCATCCAACTCTGCCTGGGTGTATATAATACATTTCTTCACTAGTGACCTCAAGAGTACCCTTGGGACTGGAACAGAAATGATGTATCAATTCAGGAAAGAATAACGCCAGCACAGAATTTGCCGTTATTCTTTCATAGCAGTCACTGTGATGATGACAACATTCCAGACACACTGCTTTGTCTGTCTGGGCCCCACAAAGAACCAGTCCCAAGGCCACTACCACAGATGTGGTCCAGCATACTGCTATAGGATGAGCAGAACAAGTAGCATCTGTTACCTAGTTTGCACCACTTAACATTAGTTGTTATCTGCTTTCCTGAAATGGCAAAACAGAAAATCCTGATTTCACATCTTATTGGCTATTGTTCTCTTAGGGTTAATTTTCTCTGGGTTTATGCAAAGGGACAAATTTCATAAAATTTTGAGTCATGGTGTTTGAAAAAAACAACAGTAACGTTTTGGAATGTAGAGCATTTTTATAAATCCAGTACCACAAGAAAATGTGGCCTACCTTAAGTACCTTGGTGCCTGCAACGCTTGCTTTTTTTTGATGTGGGGGAAAAGTTCTATTTTTAAAGGTGTCAGGAAGAAAACAAACTATACCAAATACATAAGTTAGCACATCTCTGACACTATTTTTGGCTTTCTTAATTAGATGTAACTATTTTTAAAATCCTTATTCATTTCTTTATCCAACAATCCCCCTAATCTTAGAAATATGCCAATCACCAAAATGTCAAGTGAATGACAGACCTATGTCCCAGTTTTTGTGTGCTTTCCTGATCAGAATGTGTATTACGCCATTGTTCTAACTGATAGCTACTGTGTGTTTTTGAGGGCTTAACATCCTGCTGTTCTATTGAAAAGATAAAGGATAGACTTATGTGACTTCCTTGAAGCTGCCGCGTCTCTGATCTCACCCAGAACACATTCCTGTTTTAATACTGCTTCCTTTCCTTGTTCCTTACAGTAAAGGGAAATGAGATCATATGACTGAGAACTGCAGTGGCGTCAGAGCTTGGAAGTACACGCTGGTGAAAGTCATGAAGGAGCACATGCATCTGTGAACAGCAGAACTCGATGTTTCTGTATTGTTCCTGAGCAGCCATAGTGCCCCTCCCCATAAGTACTGGGGCAGAGCTGACTGTGACAATGAAGGTAGGTACTGATCAGAAAATCCGATGAAGTAGATAGGATGAATGATAGTTGTATTCCTGGGGACAAGGTCTACTGACTTCCCGAGACCCAAGATAAATGATAAATGGGTTTTGATCGGGGAACACTTACACAGATAATAATAAAGAGCCACGGGAGCGCTTCTCTGTCACTTGTATCCGTCCCGCTGACCCAAGAGAAAGACCACATGAAAGAGAAGCCATGCTTCCCTCTCTCCATTTCTTTCTGTCTGAAGCCACACCCAAAGGGGTATGGCCACTCTTACAGGTTCACAGGCAAGACACTGCTACAATTCCCCTTTTAGTCTAAAAGTTTTAAGCCTGATGCAAGAACTATATACAATGATAACAAATGTCAAGTATACTCCAGGAAAAGGTAAACATAACACAAATTAAAACCTACTATTAGCAAGAGCAACGTTGAACAATAGATACATACTATATACCCAGTATCAGGGTAAAGGCACAAAGATTATTTTGATAACAGTCCTAACCTGGAAAGTCTAAGTCTTGTCTATCTAAGACAAGAAAGCATATGGCTATGACTGTCTAGTCTTCAACCTCATCAAAGACCTGAGAAGGAAAATAACAATACTAGAATAGGCAGGAAGTTCAAGTGAGCGACTTCCAAAAGGTGTAGCAAGGACAGAAACAGCAGGCTACCTGGACAGTCACCCATGATCTCACAGCCTTGTCCGGGCAACCAACTTTGGCTAAGGCCTAAAGTATCCGACGGACTGTCTCAGAAGCAGGAGAATTGAAAAACTGGCTTACCCTGACTTGGCAAGGTTCGGCAGACTGTCATTTTGTTTGCCTGCTTTGTTGAGTTTGGGCAATAGTCTCACTATGCCTGTGCTATAGCACATGCCTTTGGTCTTCCATAGATAGTCTCCAATCTGGCTGAAATGGTCTGATGGGAGATGTCATTCAGTAAATATGTTTCTCGTATTGGATAATAAATAAAGCACTGTTGGCCAATATGAAAGCAAGATAGGCGGGACTAGGAGACAAGGAGGATTCCAGGAAGGAGTAGGGAAGAGTCAACATGGACAGACTGGAGAGAGCAGAACACCGGCCCTTCTCTCCAGTAAGATGAGACCACGTGGAAACACTTAGATGAATAGAAATGTGTTAATATTTAAGACAGAGCTAGCCAATAAGAAACTAGTACCTGGCCAACAGAATTATATCAAATAGAGTCTCTGTATGTTAATTGGGGCTGGCGTGGTGGTGGGAACAGACCGGCGGGGAAAAACTTACTCGTAACAATGGTCATTAAATGCTTTTTAATAACAGATAAATTCAATGAACACCATACATAAAATCCAACATCTTCATCTCTTTTTTTTTTTTTCAGAGAACCCTATGGATTCAAGTGGAGTCACTGCACTCAGCTCAATGCCTAGAATATCCATACGTATTGTGAGACTTATGTCATCCCATATAGTCCAAGGATGTATGGACTCTTATCTGCTGTACATTCAGACCCAATACACAATGATGGACAAAGGACATGGAACAATTTTTATTAATTCTATTTAGAAAAGAATGGGAGGTTTTGATCCTGGTCTATAGCAATACTGGCTGCACATTGTTAGACAAGCTTGTGGCGCTCCTCTGACTAAGACATTCTAAAAGGATAGTATTTGAACCTTGTCTCTTAGTTATGCCTTAAAGCTTTATTCCCTTTCTTCTGTTTTCTGAAGAAAGAACCATGCAACCATGCAGCCTTTAAAGCACATTTATTGAAGAAATAAATTTTGTTCTTTCTAAGAGGTGTTTTCTTTTTTCCCACTGCTTGTTGTATTTGGTTCTGTTTTGTAATTTTCATATGAACGTCTTGACAAATAATATACCATTAGGAGATGCACAAACTTCTTTATACAGAATCTGGGTCATTCAGCTTGTAGATTTTATGACAGCCAGACTTAGTTGTCAGCACTAGGGATTGAAACTGCGATGTCACACGTGCAAAGAAGTGACTAGTCCTAGAGCTAAATCCTCAGCACTTTTACTGTCTCTAAGCTGCACAAATTGATTTTAAACTGGCAATCCTCACACCTGTTTCTCAAGCAGCTGAGACAGCAAGTCTCTGGCACTGGCTTGACGCTTTAGATTTTGTGTATTTAAAATAACCTTTTTGGGCCATAGGAACAGCTCAAATAATAAAGGTAATTGTGATCAAGGCTGAAAACTGAGTTCGGCCCTCAAGAATCACACCATGGAAGGAGAGAACGAACTCTTGCAAGTTGTCCTCTGACCTCCACACCCCAGCTGAGGCACATAAGTGGCCCCCTCAACACACAATAAATACATACTAAAAAAAAAGAAAAGAAAAGAAAAGATAAAAATCCTTTAACTTTCAGTCAGTCCTTTACTTTTTTGTTTACAGAGCTCAGCTTTTGCAATTTCCAATTAGAAGCAACGCTTCGTGCATCGTTTGTAATAGAGTTAAAGTATTATAGGCTTGGACACCGTTTCCATTGCCACAAAATTTAACTGCGCGCACCAAACATCGAAGTGCCCTGGCTCAGCAAGTTGTGAATTGCAGGGCACATTATTTGGGGCCCATCACAAGTCCCGTGTTTCTGTGTTCCTCCTCGGGCTCACAAAACCCCAGGATAGGCTTTGAGGGAGCTGAGGCTTCTGTGGCAGTGCAGTGACAGACACGAACTTTCTCCACCAAGCACCTGCACACCGCGCAGCCCGTGCTCACACTCAACCCTTCCGCTTGGGGTTCCGTGGTGACAGCACCCTGGGAGCCGCCCCTTGAACCGGTCGCCCGCAGCCCCCGAGAGTCCCCCGCAGCCCGCTCGCCAAGTGTCCGGCGCGAGGGCCGGATCCCGGGTGGCGGAGACCCAGTGCCAGGCGGACCCGGAGGTAAACGCCCCCGCCGCGCGCGCCTCCGCGTGCGTCACTTCCGCCGCGCGGCCATCCGCTTCCGGGTCGGCCCAGCCGCCTGCTCTGGGAGACTGGTCGAGGCGCCTCGCCGTCGGCGACCCCGCTCCGCAGAGCCCGCGCCGCCGGACCGCCGGCCGAGGCGCTGCGCCGTCCCGGGCCGCCCGGAGCGCGACACCCAGGGCCGGGCCGGGCCGGGCCGCCGCGGGGTCGCGCCTCGGGCCGTCGCTGCGGTCCCCGGCGGGAGGCGGCGCGGCGGCGGAGCGCGACCCCCGTCCCCGGCCGCCCTGCCCTCCTGGCCCGGGAAGGCGGAAGATGCCCGTGAAGAAGAAGAGAAAAGCCCCCGGAGTGGCAGCGGCGGTCGCGGAAGACGCGGGCCTCAAGAAGTGTAAAATCTCCAGGTAGCGCGCGCCCGCGCCCCGCACCACCCCTTCCTCCGCGGTGCCCCCCCCCGGGCGGCGGCCGAGCCCGCTCCGCGCCGGGCCGGTCGGTAGAGCCCGCGGGGCCGCGCCGCGGCTTCGCCCGGGCCTGTGCCCGGCGCCCCGGGGCCAGCCCCGACGTCCGCCCCGCAGGGATGTCTGCGCGCGCGGGCCGGGAGGCGCACAGCCGGGCCCCCGCCTCCCCCCGGCCCCGCACGGCGCCCCGGGCTCGCTCTCTCCAGACCCGGAGGCGTGGGGTCGGCGGGGCCCGCACGGTGTCCGCGTCAGGGTGTGAAGGAGGGGGCAGAGCGGCAAGCGTTTTGACAGCTGCCCTGGGAAAGGGCGGCGGGGAGGCCCGGCTCTAATGGCTCTCCGGGGTTAGCGTCTGGAGTGGCCCAGCGCCGACCAGCTCCCCCTTAGGGATCGCCGGAGCCTCGGCTCCACCTGTACCCCCCCCACACACACACAGGGTTTCCACCTGTACCCCCCCCACACACACACACACAGGGTTTCCACCTGTAACCCCCCCCACACACACACACACAGGGTTTCCACCTGTACCCCCCCACACACACACACAGGGTTTCCACCTGTACCCCCCCCCCACACACACACAGGGTTTCCACCTGTAACCCCCCCACACACACACACACACAGGGTTTCCACCTGTACCCCCCCACACACACACACACAGGGTTTCCACCTGTAACCCCCCCCCCACACACACACAGAGTTTCCACCTGTCCCCCCCCCACACACACACAGGGTTTCCACCTGTCCCCCCCCCACACACACACAGGGTTTCCACCTGTACCCCCCCCACACACACACACAGGGTTTCCACCTGTACCCCCCCCCCCCCACACACACACAGAGTTTCCACCTGTCCCCCCCCCACACACACACAGGGTTTCCACCTGTACCCCCCCCCCCACACACACACAGGGTTTCCACCTGTACCCCCCCCACACACACACACACACAGGGTTTCCACCTGTACCCCCCCCACACACACACACACAGGGTTTCCACCTGTACCCCCCCCACACACACACACAGGGTTTCCACCTGTAACCCCCCCCCACACACACACAGGGTTTCCACCTGTAACCCCCCCCCCACACACACACACACAGGGTTTCCACCTGTAACCCCCCCCACACACACACAGGGTTTCCACCTGTCCCCCCCCCCACACACAGGGTTTCCACCTGTAACCCCCCCCCCACACACACACACAGGGTTTCCACCTGTACCCCCCACACACACACACACAGGGTTTCCACCTGTCCCCCCCCCACACACACACACACAGGGTTTCCACCTGTCCCCCCCCCCACACACACACAGGGTTTCCACCTGTCCCCCCCCCCCCCCACACACAGTTTCCACCTGTACCCCCCCCCACACACACACACACAGGGTTTCCACCTGTAACCCCCCCCACACACACACACAGGGTTTCCACCTGTAACCCCCCCCACACACACAGGGTTTCCACCTGTAACCCCCCACACACACACACACAGGGTTTCCACCTGTAACCCCCCACACACACACACACAGGGTTTCCACCTGTAACCCCCCCACACACACACAGGGTTTCCACCTGTAACCCCCCACACACACACAGGGTTTCCACCTGTACCCCCCCACACACACAGGGTTTCCACCTGTAACCCCCACACACACACACACAGGGTTTCCACCTGTAACCCCCCCCCACACACACACACAGGGTTTCCACCTGTACCACCCCCCCCCACACACACACAGGGTTTCCACCTGTACCCCCCCCCACACACACACACAGGGTTTCCACCTGTAACCCCCCCCCCCCCACACACACACACAGGGTTTCCACCTGTAACCCCCACACACACACACACAGGGTTTCCACCTGTAACCCCCCCCCCACACACACACACAGGGTTTCCACCTGTAACCCCCCCCCCACACACACACAGGGTTTCCACCTGTACCCCCCCCCACACACACACAGTTTCCACCTGTAACCCCCCCCCCACACACACACACAGTTTCCACCTGTAACCCCCCCACACACACACACACGGTTTCCACCTGTAACCCCTCCCCCCCCACACACACACACAGGGTTTCCACCTGTACCCCCCCCACACACAGGGTTTCCACCTGTAACCCCCCCCCACACACACAGGGTTTCCACCTGTAACCCCCACACACACACACAGGGTTTCCACCTGTACCCCCCCCACACACAGGGTTTCCACCTGTAACCCCCCCCACACACACACACACAGGGTTTCCACCTGTAACCCCCCCCACACACACACACACAGGGTTTCCACCTGTAACCCCCCCCCACACACACACAGGGTTTCCACCTGTACCCCCCCCACACACACACACACAGTTTCCACCTGTAACCCCCCCCCCCCACACACACAGTTTCCACCTGTACCCCCCCCACACACACACACACAGGGTTTCCACCTGTAACCCCCCCCCCACACACACACACAGGGTTTCCACCTGTACCCCCCCCCACACACACACAGGGTTTCCACCTGTCCCCCCCCACACACAGGGTTTCCACCTGTAACCCCCCCCACACACACACAGGGTTTCCACCTGTACCCCCCCCCACACACACACACAGGGTTTCCACCTGTCCCCCCCCCCCCACACACACACAGGGTTTCCACCTGTCCCCCCCCCCCACACACACACAGTTTCCACCTGTACCCCCCCCACACACACACACACAGGGTTTCCACCTGTAACCCCCCCCCCACACACACACACAGGGTTTCCACCTGTAACCCCCCCCCACACACACAGGGTTTCCACCTGTAACCCCCCCCCCCACACACACACAGGGTTTCCACCTGTAACCCCCCCCCACACACACACACAGGGTTTCCACCTGTAACCCCCCCCACACACACAGGGTTTCCACCTGTACCCCCCCACACACACACAGGGTTTCCACCTGTACCCCCCCCACACACACAGGGTTTCCACCTGTAACCCCCACACACACACACACAGGGTTTCCACCTGTAACCCCCCCACACACACACACACACAGGGTTTCCACCTGTACCACCCCCCCCACACACACACACACAGGGTTTCCACCTGTACCCCCCCCCCACACACACACACAGGGTTTCCACCTGTACCCCCCCACACACACACAGGGTTTCCACCTGTAACCCCCACACACACACACACAGGGTTTCCACCTGTAACCCCCCCCACCCACACACACACACAGGGTTTCCACCTGTAACCCCCCCCCACACACACACAGGGTTTCCACCTGTACCCCCCCCCACACACACACACACAGTTTCCACCTGTAACCCCCCCCCCACACACACACACAGTTTCCACCTGTAACCCCCCCACACACACACACACAGTTTCCACCTGTAACCCCTCCCCCACCCACACACACACACAGGGTTTCCACCTGTACCCCCCCCCACACATAGGGTTTCCACCTGTAACCCCCCCCACACACACAGGGTTTCCACCTGTAACCCCCACACACACACACAGGGTTTCCACCTGTACCCCCCCACACACAGGGTTTCCACCTGTAACCCCCCCCCACACACACACACACAGGGTTTCCACCTGTAACCCCCCCCCCCCACACACACACAGGGTTTCCACCTGTAACCCCCCCACACACACACACAGGGTTTCCACCTGTACCCCCCCCCCACACACACACAGTTTCCACCTGTAACCCCCCCCCCACACACACACACAGTTTCCACCTGTACCCCCCCCCCACACACACACACACAGGGTTTCCACCTGTAACCCCCCACACACACACACACACAGGGTTTCCACCTGTACCCCCCCCCACACACACACAGGGTTGGAAAGGCTCTGCTTTGCTTGTTTCCTAGCATTCAGGCGCCGATAGCTCTTGAGTCACTTGGAGTCGTTTGTAAGCTATTGTGCTGTGTGTTCTCCTAGAGAAAAAGAAAACAAAGCAGGACTGTAGTGAGAGCCCTTTGCTCCCTTTGGGGCGTATCATTCAGTCATCACAGAAGCCAGAAGCGTTATTGCTGCAGGAAGTCCTTGCAATTTAGCTTTAAGAAGAGGGCTTCCTCCTGCCTATAAGGTGGCAACCTAACAATGCTACTACCATTAAGACGAGAGAGCCAGCACCACACAAAGGAAATGCCTCTTTAAGGAGAGGTGCAGAGAGAAATACACTTTAAAATATGAGGGAGCTGACTGGTTTCATCTTCTTTTTGCAATCAGTGTTTTAGCAAAAGAGCGTAAGTAATATTTCCTGGGTGATTAATGTGATAACTTTCTTTTATGCCCTTTGATAGTTGTCATTCTGCTTGACATTATCAGTGGTTTTTGAGAATCGTATCTAAGATAATTTAAACCATTTAAAACAGTTGAAGGGCAGTATCATTAGACTTCCGGTGACCTAAATTGTAACGAAGGGATTTCCATACAAATGAGTAGTAGACTCGCAATAAGGCCTTTTGGCATTCAGGAAGATGTAGGAAGTAAAGCCCTCAGTTCAGAGAGAGAGAGAGAGGCAGGGGGAGAGGGGTATATGGGGAGAGAGGCAGGGGAGGAGAGGGGACAGAGGAGAGAGAGATTTATACTTACTTTTCTAGTCTTGGGTTGAGACTTAGACTGCACTTCTGAGGAAATAATTTTAGTTGATGTTTTGGAATTTGGTAGCAAGCAAAGTAGCATTTGGGTTCTCACTGCTCAGGAATTCTTACGCATACAGCCCATACTGCTAATGCCTAACCCCTTCCCCCAAATGCTAATTTAGAAACCACTTTGTTTCTTTTGCATGGAAGCACTTGTTGTTGAGCCTAGTTTTTCACGAAGACTTGAGAGTTTTAGTAAGTCAGACCTTTGTGCATTTTCTAAGCTATTGCAGATCCCAGCCTCCTGCTAGACTTATCAGTGGAGAGGAAGATTTTTCAAGAAAGAAGTGCCTGGCTTGGTTTTATGAATATGCAGGTAATGAAATTTACAGAACAAGACAGCGGTCTTGTGTCTAAAAGTCACCTTATTCGTTAACATTATTTATTGCTAGCCTGTTATGTTTTAGTGCTGTGTACTGGGATTAGGGTCAAGGCTAAAGGGTAATGGATCAGCTAACAATTTAGTAACATTTCAAGACTAGTTTTTCTTTAAATCTGCATTCAGTAAGAGAGGAGAAACTCATTTACTGTTTGTGTATAAATTTAGCAACAGTCAACATTAAAGGCACTGAAAAAGTATTCTGGGAAAGAAGTGGGTAAAACATTTCGAGGCAGAGTTTCTGTGGCCCTTACGGTCTGGAATTCATTGAGTAAAGCAGGCTGCCTTTCTAACTCAGATCCACCTGCTCTGCTGGGGTCACAGACCACCACGCGGCATCATCATGACCAGCTTCATAAAGCTTTTCTAGTCAGTATTCCAGGAAACAGTATGCAAAGCATTTTTCTGTTCAACATTCTCTATTTTTTTTCTGAACATTTTCTGAAGCTTTTGGGGTGGTATGGCAAGCAATTTTAACCAGAGTTTAACCAGAGATCATGCACAACACATTTACCCTTTTAATTTTTACAACAACTACAATGATAATAATACTATATGTTAAGTAGTAGATCTTGACATGTAATTGACAGGATACAAAACCCAACCTTGAAAGTATCAGGAGAACCCTCTTGGAGAAGCTAACTTCAGCCGTGTCTGACAAGTGGTGTATGAAAAGATCTAGTTGCACAGTGAGGCAAACCTGTGAACAGAAATACAAGTTCCCTTGCCAGCCATGGTGAGGAATACCCTTAATCTCTGCACTCAGAGGCAGGCGGATCTCTGTGAGTTGGAGGCCAGCCTGATCTACAAAGAGAGTTCCAGGACAGCCAAGGCTATTACATAGGAAAACCCTGTTTTAGAGGTGGAGGAGTGTAGACATATGTCTTGTTTCCCACTTACTGCTAATTTCTTCACAAACATATGTGACAGTTTTTCCCTGTTATTAAAGTTATTTTTTCTTTCCTGTCTTTTATCTTCTTTCCCACTCCCCCCCCCCATCTTTTATCATCATCATTCTCAAAAGTATTTTCTTAAAGTAAAAATACTTCATAGTTCTCGCCTTATTCTTAGTCATATTAAGATCTAAAATGTACCCTCTTTTTAATTTACAAAGTTAACTGTATGGAAAGCTACACTCATTTGAAAAGGGGGCAGCAACTTTACCATTGGGATCAGTAGAGTGATCCCAATTGTATAATTTAAAATTGTTTAGTAGCAGAATAGAATCTTTCTAGATCAGGGGGAATACATGCTATTACTGGTATCCCAAGACAACCACTAACCCAATTTAAATGTAGAGAATTCATTTTTTTACTGACCTCTATTTAAAGTGTTGACCCATTATTAAAAATGCCAGCTTTACATGTACACTATAGAATCAAAAGGTTCTCATATTATTACACTTACAAAGGTTATTGGATATCATAAAGATTAAATTGTGTGTATGTTTGTCTTTGTTTGTTTTCTTGATTTTAGGTCTTATTGAAATTTCCCTGGGTATTCTAAGATTTGAATTCTATATTTATTTCCTATTCTGACATTTTTAAGCCAACATAATAATTACTGTCATTGTTCCAGGGATTGTGATAAGTATATCATTTTCCTTATAGCCATCTGTAAAGTAAGAGATGTTATCCTCATTGTATGAATGAAAACTGAGGCTTAAATTAACTTACCAGTGATGATACAATCCAAGAGCCAGGATTCCGACCCTAGTTGACCCTCAAGACAAAGTTATGCAAATGACAAATTGATTTTACTACTGAAAAAAGTTAGTAAAGTACACTAAAGGTTATCTTCTGTCATTCAGTGAGTCATTTGATGAATATTTATTAAACACTTCTGTGAATCCAACACTAGGATAGTGCTTGGGATATAATAATGAAAAAATCAGCACAGGATCCCTGCATTCAAATGTGGCTTCTTATGAGGAAGACCTACAGTAAACAATATGTATATAGGCATGGAAAGTATAACTTGTGGAGGCTCACACAAGTAATATGTGGAAGTACTAGGATTTCAGAAGGAAGTATCCACAGAAACTATTTTGGCAGAAGCTTCCTTGATAAGGGATCAGTCATCCTTCATGGTGGAGACAAAGCTAGGCCCACACAGAGTAGATGATACCTGCAAAGCCTTAGCACACAGTACCTGACACATGTCATAACTCAGTTTGTTAGGCATTATACTATTAGCAGCCTTAGAGCATCTTCAGGTGTGTATGTATGTATGTTAACTAATCTCCTGTATAGGTCATTGTTAAGGCACTGTCACTAAGCACATTGTTTTGGGGTTTTGGTTCCTGAGTATTTATTATGGCATTGTATTAAACCTTGATCATGTACCTGGGAACATGTATATTTTTACATAAAATGGGGTGGTATTTCCATGTATCCTCCTTAGAGACAGGTGATCATATATAGGTTCCTTACAATCTGAGTGGTAGTTAGAGGACAAAGGCCCTGTGTGTTCAGTACAGAGGATTCTTAATCTTCCAGATGGCTCAGATGCTTTCTTTCTTTCTTTTAGACAGGGCTCACTATGTAGCCCTGACAGGCCTGGAACTTGCTGTCTAGACCACATTGACTTTTGGGTGGTGGTGGTGGTTTTTTCAAGGGCTACACAGGGTTTCTCTGTGTCACCATGACTGTACTAGAACTCAACTCTGTAGACCAGACTGGCTTCAGACCCATGGAACTCTGCCTGCCTCTGCTTCCCATGTGTTGGAACTAAAGATAGTGCCACTATGCCAGACTACCTCTAGATATTTTTAGTGAATGTCTTGTTGAATTCATGTATATACAACTTTATAGCCAATTGTATATTAGCCCTCTATGGGGAACACATAGAGAACATTTTTAAATCTGTCACAAAGAATTAAAAAGTATAGAATTACATACAATAAGGTGAGATAAATCATTTCCATGACTGCTTAAATTGAGAGCTTGAAAGAATTAATTGAATTCACTTACATCTTACCTAGTTGTAGTTTTATGAGAAGGCTATAGTTTAAAAGTATTATTGACCCTGATTTAGGGAGTGAACTTTGATATAGGCTTTGCTTTACACTTAGGCCTATTTCCATTTTCTTGAGGGGAAAGTCACTTAACACAGACCTTTCTATTTAAGATCATATGTATGTTTTATATAGAACTAACTTTAATTTCTAATTGTGTGTCAACATCACCTTATTGGTCATATAGTAGATGTCTCTATTGCATTGGCTTAGTGTTGTATATGTAACCTCGTTATAGTACTGTGAAGTGTACTTGCTAAAATTAGTCTATGACTTAAGTCTGTAGGGTTCTGTTTTGTTTTGATGCAGGGTCCTTTGTAGCCCAGACTAGCCTTGAACATTTAAATCTTCTTGCCTCTACTTCCCCTTCCCAAATACTGGGATTATCAACTCGTGCCTCTTTGATTAGCTAAAGCTGGAATATTTTCTAATTGTTGAAGAAAGGAAAGTTAAAATGTACAAGGAGGACACAGTCTCAAGAAAACTGTGTGGTCTCTCTCATTTTAAGAATCTGGATAATCTAATAGTAAGTGTATTTGTAAACAGTGTATGTAGACACAGTGCTACACATAAAGACAGTGTGGTACATGCAGAAAAGAACAAGAAAGCCTGAACTATCGGGAATGAGGCAGAATGGAATGAACGAAATAGACATGCTATTTCTAAATGGAGTTTTTAATTGGTTTAAGTAAAAGCACCCAGTGTCAGATATAGAGGAAAATGCTGAGGGATCAGAGAGAAGGAACAAACCGTTGCCACACCTTACCTCCTTAGCATCCCAGCAGACAGGAGGCCAGTTCCTGTTTCTCCCTGCTTACATCCTGGTTCCACCCAGCTATCTCACTTCCTGTCTGCTGTACAGACCTCCATTCTCTGACCTTCAGACAAGCTTTATTTGAACAAGCAAGATATCACCACAGTTATTGATAGAGGACATAAACAAGACTAATTGTTCTGACTCTTGTCTTGGGATTTTCTTTTTTTTTTTTTTTTTTTTTTTTTTGGTGGTGGGTAAGTGCATAAAAATACATCCAATAGTGAAAGTAAAATGTGAAGCTTTCGGGTGCTTTTCCAAGTTCATTCACGTGTGTAGACATTGGCATAGTTAATGTCTGGTGTTTTTTATTCCCAGGTGTTTTTGTTTTTTAAATAATAAAGAAAATAGAGGCTTCTTTTGGATACTGTAATACTGTTTGAAGACATTTTTGGAGTTATAAATGATAAATATGTCATATTTCAAATCATGACATTTGTTTTAGGTCATTTCTAGGCATAGGAGAATTGGCAGTGATAGTTACTCTATTTTGTGAATCTGATATCCAAAAATAAAAGTTCAAGAATTACATTGACTTGTAGTCATCTAGTGTAAAATAAGAAACAAAAATGATATTCAAATTCCATATGCTTTATAGCCTTACACTGTCAAAATTTTTATTCAGAATAGTTTTTTTTTTTAATGAATAAGTTTGTATATTGGTTTGATTTGTTCTTTTTGCAAACTACTAATTTATACTAGTGGAATATTTCTTTACTGTTCATTTAAAAAATGTTCTTAACCTACTGGGTGGGTAGCTCACACCTTTAATCCCAGTACTTAGAAGTAGAAACAGGTAATTTTCTGTGAATTCCAGGCCAGGCTGGGCTGCATAGTGAGACCTAAAAAAAGAAAAGAAAAAAGTCCTTAATTCATATTGCAATATATTTAAGGAATAAAAATTTTTAAATATTTATACTTTTGAGAATTATGCTAAAACTTAAATTCACTTATTTGTAAAAAAGAAAGGATATTTTCATGTATGTCTTTAGTGTAATAGTTTAATTCGTATTCATAATAAAGTGTAGTAAAGTATATGTATTATTTTTGTCTTTGAAGGTCCTGATGAAGTTGTAGGGCCAGAAGGAATGGAAAAATTTTGTGAAGACATTGGTGTTGAACCTGAAAATGTATGTTTTATTTCTAAGTAAAATGAAATATAAGTGGATTATAACATTTTCTTAAATTTCTAAATATTTATGAAGATATTTTTCTTCATGTTTAATATTGTAAATTCACACTAGGGTTTTTATTTTTTAAGATTGGTTCATTTGTTATGTATATAGTGTTCTCCCTGCATGTATGTCTGCAGGCCAGAAGAGGGTACCACATTTCGTTATGGATGTTTGTGAGCTACCATATGGGTGCTAGGAATTGAACTCAGGACCTCTGGAAGGAGGAGCCAGTGCTCTTAACTGCTGAGCCATCTCTGTAGACCACACTAGGTTTTTTTTTTTTTTTTTTTTTTTTAATCAGCCTAAGTTGGTCAAGTTGTGTCTTGATACAAATATAGTTTTGTAATAGAATGAGACTCAGCATTCCTAAATGCTGCCTCAAGACTGGCACACCTCAGCTATTTCATAGTGACCATCTAGAAGCTGTAGTGTCAGTAGTGGACGATTGGAAATAATTGAAGACTGTTTTCCATGATGAATGCAGCCATGATCATCGCTGACTTTTCCCTGTCCTTATGTTCTCTTCTTTTCAGATTATTATGTTAGTTTTAGCGTGGAAATTGGAGGCTGAAAGCATGGGATTTTTTACCAAGGAAGAATGGTTAAAGGGAATGACCTCATTACAGTAAGAACATTTTCTAAAAAAACAAATTTGGTGGCCTATTTAAAGATCTCATTGACATTTTGTGCTTCATCATTTTCAGGAGTAAGATTTCACCTTAAAATAATCAAATTGATTTGTAAAAATCAGTTGTGGGACTGGCAAAATTATACTGTGGTTTTGACAGATGAAACTCAGGCTAATTGAAATATATTGAGTCAGTGCAGGGGTAAACTAGAAATCCTCAAAGGATTCATTTTTCACAGGTTTATTTTAGTAACAAAAGTTTTTCCCCACTCTGATACAGAACTCTTGCGAATCTCATCACTGGATAGTCCTAGGACTGTCTCGCTTCCCTTTGTAATAAGTGTAAAGATAGAGTTACACCGTGCTTTAGTTAGCTATTTCCTAATAACTCACGGAGGATCAAAGTAAAATGGTTTGGCTCCTGTATAGTCTTTTTAGCCATTTGTAGTTTTGCATATTCAGATGGAAATGATGTAAGTTTCAGAATTCATTATTCAGATAATTTACCTTGCCATTCTAGAGTAAAATGTTTAGTTTCAATTCAATTAGGAATTGTGTGGTAATTTTCTATTATGTCGTGTTCATAATGTTTAATCAGAATGTTACTCAACATTGTAAAACATTTTAACGAGTTACTTTATTGTTCATTTTTTTCCCATCGCTTGGGATAGAGCCCAGGACTTGACACATGCTAACTCCATGCTCTATCACAGAGCTACATCCCTGCCCCAGTTAAGTTTTTAAGGCAGATACTGCATTATTAGCTCTAGAGTTTTCTGTGTTGACTATGGTTTTGTTACCATATATAAACTGTCCTTAATTCTTATTTATCTATCTCCCAGTTCTTAAGAAACGATGTCTATTTGCTTACAAGACATGGACATTCACGTATTTGAATTTTCATCGTCTATTGTTTTATTCTCTTTTTAAACCATTTTTTAAAATGTCTTTTTTGTGTGCTTTTTAAACATGTGTACGTGTGTGTACACGCGTGCATGTGTACACCAGGATATGTCCTATTGTCGTGTAATGATGATGAAAAAATGTGTTGGGAAGAAGGTTGGTGGGGGGGCATGATTAATAGATGTGCTGTAGGTAGGTACATACATGGTACATACATACATACCTACACATACACACATATCCATTCCTTGGTTGAAAACCTTTTCTCAGATGAACCTACTCATAATTTCTAGCCTAGAACATAAAACAAAATTTCCCATTTAATTTATAAATAAGGAGTGTGAAATGCAAACCAGTTAAAATATTTCCTTTCATGTATTGTTTAAGCCATATTTAATTTTACAGTATTTTTTAGAGAAGAGTGAATTCTGTCATGCCTTAATTCTAAGGTTCTTTAAACTATTTCTCACCATTTAATTAGCTTTTAATTAAAAAATATGCAGAAATAGAATTTTTCAAAAGATATACTTTTTTGTGAAGCTTCGTCTAGCTGATTAATTAACACTACCAAAATGGTAAAAAAAAAATATTTTGATATTACAGTATGTAATATACTATTTTTATAAGTTCTTTTGGGGAGTCTTAACTAATAAATGATTTTATACTAAACAAAAAGGTTCCTCATTGGATTTATTTAGTGTAGTTAATATAATATAGAGCTTCTGTGTTTCAAAAATGTAACTACAAGATGTTTTACATTTATTCCTGAATGATCAGCATGTGGTCTTAAGTACAAGCATAGGATTCGAAAGCCCATGGGCATGGTTTCTGTTGTCACTCTCGTACAGAGAGCTCACAGACTATGCGAACAACCCCAGCAGTATGCCTCAGGTATCATCCCCTTTTCCAGCCGTAGAGTGACACTGCCTGGAAATGTGCCTGGAGAAAGGCAGCTTCCTTTCCCTGTGGTCTGCACTGCCATGCACAGTCGGCCAGATTTATCACCTCTTTAATCTTATAGTAAACTTGTAGTGAGATAGTCTGTAACTTAAAATCTAAGATAGGAGGTACATTGTATAAAAATGGGTAGGTATTAATGTATTTGATTTCACATAATAAATATGAAAGTTATTAGTCTCTATTTCCTGTGAGATGGTGATGTTGTCTTAAGAATTTCATGGTTTTCAAATCATCAAGAAAATTATCAATTGAATTGTTTCAACTTTCTTAATTCCTGAGATCTTGAGTAGAATGCCACTAAAGAACAATTTGGTAGTTACAACAGGAATATTGAGCTAAAATAATCACAACCAATTATCTACATTGTGTCTTATGAGTAGGTTGTTCCCTGCTGGTCTGGTCCCATTGCCACGCCAGCTCCAAATAACACACAGACATTATATTAGATATCATGCTGTTACTAGTTTGTTATAGGCTAGCTCTGTCTTAATTACTAACCCATTTCTATTAATCTAAGGACTCCCACGTGGTCTTATCTTACTGGAGAGAGGGGCAGGCGTTCTTCTCTCTGTCCTCCATCTTGGATCTCCTCCCTACTTCTTCCTCTCTCCTCCTTGTCTCCTAGTCCCGCCTATCTGGCTTCATTAACCAATAAGAGAAGCATATTTACAGAGTGACATCTCCCATCAATTGTGTAATGCTTTGCAGTCTTTGGAATGCTTTTCTAAACATTTGTCTTGAGGCTCTCCTTATAGGTGTTCTATAAATGACTGTCCATTTGTATGAAATAATTTGTCAAGCACAGACTTACATACAAATAACTGAACGTAGATTGGCTATTTTATGTTTCACAGGGTTTAGTCTAGTTGTTAGAACCTTAAGGTATATAACATGGTCAGGGTGGAATTTAAAATTCCAGCTATGTGGAATAATATTGCTACATTATTTGGTACTTTAACATGAGGAGATTTAAACCAATTGTTAATATGTTAGAGATACTGGAAAACGTTTTTGTTTTTTTGTTTTGTTTTTTTGAGGCTGGGTTTCTCTACACCTTTGGAGCCTGTCCTGGAATTTGCTCTGTAGCTTTGGAGCCTGTCCTGGAATTTGCTCTGTAGACCCGGCTGGCTTTGAACTCAAAGAGATCCATCCACCTGCCTCTGCCTCCCAAGTGGTGGGATTAAAAGTGTGTACACACACCTCACCCCCCAAGCAAAAGTCAGATTTTTGAGCCCTGGAATCACACAAGAGTTTTGCAGTAGTGTTTATGTGAGTGTTCTTGGTGTTTTGGGGTCTTGAGAATTGATAGAAGCTAAATCCTGTCCTTGTTAAGATGTACTGTACTTTACCCACACCGTTGTTGGGATGTAGACCTTTATTAGATATGTGTAAGTTTTTCTTCCAGCATTTTAAACTAGGTGGAGAACTCCCACCTCTGCTAGCTCAAAATTTGGGTGTTGGTATACAGGTTGACTATGCTGGTGGAGAAAGCTGTGATTACAGTGAAGGGATTGTACTTAGTCATAATAATGAAGAGCAGTGGTGGTAACCATAAAGGTAACTGGTAATAATAATGACAGTGAACAGTCCTAGTATTGTAGTACATTTCCTTCCAGAAAGGGCTTTATTTTGATACTTGGACTTTGAAGATTAAAGGGGAAAGGACTTATTTGACTTAATCTCTTTTTTGTTTCTGTTTTTCGATACAGGGTTTCTCTGTATAATAGTCCTGGCCATCCTGGAACTTGCTTGTAGACTAGGCTGGTCTTGAACTCACACAGATCTGCCTTCCTCCGTCTCCCAAGTGCTGGGAATAAAGGCGTGTGTCACCACACCTGGTTTATTTAATCTTAAGAAAGGGAGGGATGGGGAACATTTACTTGTTTTTTGTAGGCTGAGAGTGATGTAAATGCAGTGACGTGATAGGTGTGATGTGTGACTCTCCTTCATTTGGAGCTGAAGCCAACTACTGATTGCCATTAGCATATTTCTCTCTGTTCTCCCCAGTCAGACAATTTCAAAGTGCTTTCCCCTACATTCCAGCACCATGAGAGGTAGACGGCATTTATCTCATTGGTAAATGTGCTGTGGAGAAGGTCTGTTATTTGTCAGTGTGCCACCGCATGCTCATTGAGATTCACACATAGGGAAGAGAGCCTCACTTAGATCTGCCTCATAAAGGAACTTTCCTCTTGGTTAAAAGACTTGACTTACTTTTTTCTAAATCCTTGTGTTGAAATGGAAGTTCATTCTGTATTCATTCAAACCACAGTGTTCTCTGGAAATCTTACATTAGCAGGAACCCAAAACTCTCTAAGGTTTTATTGAGATGTTACTCAAAACATGATCTCTTGCTGTTAGCGATGGACTGTTTAACTATATATAAAGTTCTGAGAGGACTGACATTCTGAATTACTGAGTTTATGTGGGAATAGTGTGTTGATAATTGCCTGCACATGGTTACTGGTTTTGCTAGTTCTGTTCATACGCTTAGCTTATGTCGGTATCGGTAATAAATACAGAGCTTTGGGCTCTATCCTCACCTTAATAAAGATAATTAAGGGCTGAAGAAGTGGCTCAGCATTTAAGAGGTGGCTGCTCTTCAGAGGACCTGGACTCAGTTCTCAGTACCCACATGGTAGCTCACAACAGTCTGTAACTGACCTCTACAGACACATGGCACACATGTGTATAGGCACACAGGGACACAAAACACCCATACATATAAAAAAAATCAGGGGTGAGGGAAGCACATTTGGTGATGTTTGCTTCTTTCTCTACTCAAGATCTTCATTAGACCATTATGGATGCTAGGATTTGTTTGGACGAGTGTAGTGTAGGTAGGTGCATTGGCTTCTGTGTGCCCTAAAGGGAGCACAGTTAAGCTAAGAGCTGTGCTAAGAATTTTACACATATGTATTCCCCTGTGATGTTTACTAATCTCGGAACTGTTCTTGTTTGAAAGTCAGGAAGCTGGGGCTGGGGAGGTGGCTGAGTGAATAAAGGAGTTGCAACACAAGCATGAGTGCCAGAGTTTGTGTGCCAGTGCCCATACCAAAAGAATGGGCAGACATCAGTGTGTAACCCGCAGAACTGGGGTGGCAGAGACAGGGCATCCCTGCGGTAAGGTGCTA